TTTATCGATCAGCAGGATGCAACAAATAATCGAAAGGAATTAAATATGGAAAGGCAACCCTTGTTATTGCAAAAAGCATACAAGTTGTCAAGTAAATCGAATCCCTTTCCGTTCGAGAAAATAAACACACAACGTAACAGGTTCGATTCGCAAATCGATCGTTTAGGAGAATATGAAGGACCGGAACAAGTCCTTCAACGTCTTCGATTCGGTCAAATAATCCCACCACCTCGAGATTTCTCTCGAGAAAAGGATCAAGAGGATTATCAGGATGACGATGGACAAAGGGAGGAAGATATAGTTCACAATCGAGAGTACAGGCCGCCTAATCAGAATTATGCAATGAGCAGAAGTTGGCCGGATATACCTTTGAAGTATAATAATCGGCCTTGGAAAGGAGACGGATGGGATGAAAGAGATGGACGTACTATGCCGTCTGGTTTACCGAATGAATGGTCTTGGAAACAACCGCAATATAATAATAATTTCTGGCCGGCTCGTAGTAGAACTTGGCCATCGATTAGAAACTATTGGACGCCGTTAGATAACGATTATGAAGAAGAATCGGATTTCGTATCGAAAAATCGGCTTGATCGAAATTGGCAATGGAGAGAATCACAAGAACGAAGACAAAGACAGAGGCAGGAACAGGAAGAGAATGAAGACGAAGAACGTTTCTCATACCCGTGGGAATTAGAAGGGCCTAACGTTTGGCAAGGCTCACAATCTTTTCAAGTGAAACCGCCATGGTCGCAAACGGAAAGTAATCAAATTTCTAAAACTCATGATAATATCGAACGGAAGACAGTGGAAACTCCATTGTATGCCAAATCAGATACCAAATTCAGACCTTACGAATCATCGAAATCAACGACCAAAATGGTGAAACAATATGGTAAAAGTAAAGTTTCCTTACCGAAGATTAGTATGGCAACTTGGAACAGTTTGACCTCGGATCCAGCGACTTGGCCGTACAGATCCTCGGATACGAAACCATGGCCGAAAGATGAGAATGGTAAATCGTACAATCCTAATGCAGATTTGGTTAAAAAATTAGGCCTAGACAAAAAAGAGGGTACGAATTGGCCGAAAGAGGAAACTGTGAAGACTTATAAGATATCGAACGATCAATGGAATCCCTTACAAACAAATTCAAAGAATTCGTCGAATCAGGAAAACGAATCCATTGCAAAGTACAAACTTCCAAAAGATAGATTTGATTTTGGTATTTACAATGCCAAATCAAAAAATATGAAAGATTGGATGAAATCTCGTTCCGAAGAAATTCGTCGATTCGGACCGTTAAACGATGACATTAATAACTGGTATCGTGACAACGAACCAAAAACAATATGGTCCACGAAAGAAGCTTTAAATTCTAACTTACCAAAGATACAATCAGTTGGTGCCTGGGTCATGCCTCCTGATAAATCTACGTGGATGCCCTATCGATTTGAACCTCAAAATGATCCTTTCAACGAGAATCCTACTGGATCTACGATCCGACGTTGGTTTGAATCGAACGGAAGTAGCAGCTCGATTCCAACTTATGCAAAACATATCAACGAAGTTGAATTATGGTCTCCAAGACCCAAAAATATCAATCTTTGGAATAAAGAAGACGATTTAACGCAAGACGAATCTAATATTTCCGATCGTGGATCGTTAAAATCGAATAAAGTTATTGATTGGCCATCCAAGTTTGAAAACGATTATTCGAACAAAGAGAATTATGCTTTGTGGAATCGGAAACGTAGTTTTGACAAAGGCCAACCTGAAAACGTTGATTTAGGAAAAGGTAATCACGATGTTTCCTCTGGATTTTTGAAAGTAAACGAGACGAATATCGGAATAGACAATTCTAAGGAGACTTTATCGTTACATAAATCAAACAACTGGAACAACACTTACGAAAGAACTAATTCATGGCCTTCGAAATGGAAACAATTTAGTTATCATAGAGTTACTACTCTGCCAATCTCGAAACCAGGGACGATATCGAATTTCTCGGCAAAATCGAGAAACGCTTTTGTTGCTGTCTCCGCGGTTGCATCGCCTAAATACACGATATCGAAAAACGATATCGTAGAATCTCAAAATAATCGAAATGATCTTTTAGAAAAACAATTGGAGGATCTTAGACAACAGAATTTATGGAGTTTAAAAGCGAACGCTATCGAGGTAAAATTAATTTTATAAGATAAAAATAAATCTTATTAATAATTTAGCTCTTCTTCTTATCTTTTATTTTTCTTTTTATATCTTTACAAGGAATCTATACGATCACTGACTCCGATAGAAAGAAGATTGACGATTGGATCGACGATTGAACCAACATTAACAAATATCACGAATTTCACGTCCATGGTACACCGTCCGGAAGAAGAGCTTCCGAAATCTGGGAATAAAGAATACCAGATGCATAATAAGTAATCAAATAATGTGGAGACCCCGCGAAAATTTTATTTGTTTTTGTAATATATATATATATATATATATATATATATATATATATATATATATATATATAGACGAGAAGTTTAATTAAATTCTTGAATAGTTCCCAAGGATGATATTTTGAAACAAATTGAATTTTTTAGATTTCGTTGCTCTGCGTTAAAATGGACGAGGTTAATTTATCTTTCTTCTTAACGTACTTTTTAATTATCAATTTATATGTTTTAATCGTTTCACTTATTTTAAAATATGTAGCTTTATCATATATATATATATATATATATATATATATATATATATTATATTTGATTTTATTACATATATCAATTTTTTGTAAATAAGCTTCTTTAGATACAGATTACGATACCGACAGCTCGTGGCTTATCATAAAATTATGAGAAAAAACGACAGGGTCTCGGCACAAATTAATTGAACGAAAACGTTAACCGTAAGAAATGATTAGAATAAATCCTATCATTCCCATTCCATTCGATTCGATATAGACTCAACTTAACTCTTCAACATTCCTTTTTACTCGACTCGATTAATCTTACCTAGCTTTTACATCGTAAATTTCATGTATTAACGGTCCTATATTCGTAAAAAACTTTTCGGAATAATAATTTTCATCTAACAATTTCTACTATATGAAATCAGAAATATCGAATGATGTTATGACTTTATAAACTATAAAAGTTTTTAAGCATGAAATACTATGAAAGATATCAAAATGATATTCACGTATATAAAAGGTCATCGAGAAGTGATGTGTATATACGTATAGGTACATATATTATATACAGAAGATAAATATCAAATAGAAAAAAAGGAAAGAAAAATAAAAAAGGAAAAATATTACGATTCAATGTTTGATCAAAAATAGTTGTACGCACAACAGTATAGGTATCTACATATACATATACATATGCATATATATATATGTATATATATTTAATTGTTAGAAAAGTTGAAATCTTGTTGTGCTAATTTATGTTAATATCTAATCCGAAAGACTCTGGAATGATTTCCGTTCAGATACGCGAATTCTGCGTGTATATATATATATATATATATATATATATATATATATATATACAGGCATGTATATGCATCTATATACATACAACGTATATGTCTAAGTATATATGGAGGATATATACGTTAATAATTAATATTCTCATGGGCTTTCCGAGCATTGGCTCAACGTGATCGAATATGCACGATCTTAAATATTTATCAACAAACAGTAGATCGTAGTTTGATTGATATTTTTAATCCTCGAATGATCTATATAATACTTAGCACAAGAAAAAAACAAAAAAGCGTAACATATTAAGAAATATTTCTAACGTGAAAGTGAAAGAATCGTAATATGTCGGACACGTTACAAATATTCACACGAGTTTCGAATGCTCGATGAGAAAAGAAAAAAAAAAAAATATATATATATATATATATATATATAAAATATATATATATATCTTTCTCCCCCCCCTCTCTCTCTCTCTCTCTCTCTCACTTCCCTCCTTCCCCTACCTCCTGTGTGTACGTATGTTCGTAGGATTTTCTGTTATCAAATCTGTATTTTAATTCGTTTAAGGAGACAAAAGCGAGAATAAATGTCATACGTTGTATATTCTTCATGGCACTTTGTTTTTCGAAGTTTTTATTTCCCCGTTTCTTAAAATATCCAAATTCTAATAGAATGTATAATGGATATTTCCTAAACATTTACATAGAATGAAAAAAAAAGAAATAATAATAAAAAAGACGATCTTTCAAGGAAGATTATAAAAATAAAACGATTTTACAACCGTTTCTCTACGAAGATGCATCATTCGCATCTTCACATTGTTAGGATAAATTTAACATAACCAAACACAATTGAGGTTCGAGAGAATTTTTTTTATGACAGTAATCACGAAACGTCTCTGCTCAGCAATCGCCACATGACGACAATCTTGATAAGCACGAATCTTATGCATATTAATTTTTCTCTTAGAGAAACCTCGAGAAGAAATTAAAGGAAATGTTATGGTAAGATCTAATTGATAAAATTTAGAACTTATCGTTAATAGATAAAGAAAAAAATTCTCTCATAGTCGACATCACCGTATAAATACCGAACGTATAAATAAAATAATTCACGATCAAATTCTTTTTCGATATCTTTAAATTTACTTGATAATTACGATATTTTTACGTATTAATATCAAATAAATTCATAGAAAATATTAGATTACTGATAAATGAGAATATAATGTAATATAATTAAAAAGATTTCGATGAAGAAATAATTCATAAATTATTCGTCAAAAAGTAATGATTGAAAATTCTTGAACGATACGTAAATTAGATCATATTTTTACAAAAAAAAACGTAAAAAAATTAATAATTCAAAATCATCGACGACCGTTCTTTATCCAATATTATTAAATAGCCAAATCTATTTTATCTCGAAGATAATCTTATCTCGATGAGAGAGTTCATATAAATACTAATTCGTGAAACGTATAAAATTTAATCGACCTTGATTTATTGCTGAATGGAGATTATCATCCGAGTGTAATCGCAATGTTTGTTAGAAAACTTTTGATCGTCTTTGGTTTAATAACTATAAACATCGAAGAAATTTATGGACATGGTATGTTAATGGAACCCGTTAATAGAAGTAGTGCTTGGAGGAAAGGATTTCGTGTTCCACCAAATTACGACGACGACGGTAATTTCTGTGGTGGTTTAAGCGTGAGTTCTTTCAACGTTTTCTCTTTCGAAATTTATTTCGTCATGATGTTGAAGTTTTCTAATCGATCATAATCTCAATCGAAAAAATTTTACAGGAACAAATACAAAACGGTGGTAAATGCGGAGTATGCGGTGATAATTACATTCTACCACGACCTAGACCAAACGAGAACACTGGACATTATGGCAAGGGTATCATCGTCAGAAGGTAATTAAAATAATTCGATAATTTATTTTAATATTATAACGTATGACATTAATATTACATCGACTGACAGATATCAAAAGGGTCAAAAGATTAATGTCGTAGCCCGTTTAACTGCAAACCATTCGGGCTACTTCAAATTACAAATATGCCCTCTCTCGAATCCAAAAGAACTCGAAACCGAAGAGTGCTTTAATCGTTACCCCTTGAAATTTGAGAATGGATCAGACAGATATGTGTTAAAGAGTCACGCTGCCAAGGATTACACTATGAGTCTATTGCTGCCAGATAATCTTACCTGCGAACATTGTGTTTTGAGATGGGAATATTATGCTGCAAACAATTGGGGTGTTTGCAAAGACGGTTCTGAAGGGATGGGTTGCGGACCCCAAGAAAATTTCAAAACTTGCTCCGACATCAGTATCTCCTAAAATGTATTCTAACTATCGATGATGTTCGATAATAAGAAATTTTAGTGATCAAAAATATGTTCTATTTATTTTACTTCCTTTACATTTACTGTTTCATTTAATTATGAATATAGTTATCGATTCTTTTTCTTACATATATTCTAAAAGTGTATCAGAAAAATTCCTGATAATAGGTAATTATAGTTATTAAGCAATATTTTCTAAAAAAAAAAAAAAAAAACAACATACTATAGATACGAAATAACACTTCTCTTTCTTATTTAATATTAAAACAATTACGTTAAATTAAATAAAAAAAAAAAGAAAGAAAGGAAAGTTTTTATGTAGTAAGCAATCGTTATTGTATGATTGATTGCATTTATTAAACAACACAATCTTCTTTCGGCGTCAGAAAAATAATCCTTGCATTTATAATCGAAAAAAAAGAAAAGAAAAATGTTCTTTTTTTTATAAAAAATAAAAAAGATATAAAAGATGTAAAATTTTTGCAGGTGGACGCATAGACATATGAAGGTTAATTATATGTTCTTAAATAGAGTCATATGTTTTTAATTGCATTGATGAATGCAGCTTGACATCCTCTATAAAAAAAAATATTAGCCCATACATGTCAAATAATTATTAATTTAAGAGATATTTATAAACGTTTACTTAGCACTTATCCTGCGCTTAGTCTGAGCTTATTCTGCGCTTACTCTACAATTACTTTTGCATAATTGTTTCAAGTCTCCATGCCTTTTCTAATTTTAGAGATATTCCACGTAAATGAAAAACATAGCTATTAATAATGTGGAAAAAATTTTCTTCTATAAAAATGAATTTATTTATCAATTATTTATTAATTTATGTAATTTTATAAATCGGTCGCGATTTGAAATTTTGATTCAAGAAAATATGATGAATAAAGTTCTTAAGAATTTTTTTTATAGTTTAGTTTATAACAAATGATTAATTATTTATTAACAATGCTTTGAAATAATAGAGAAAAATCTCCTGATTCAAAGCGATGTTTAATTCAAGACTTTACTACTTTTAGTTCCGGAGATATTTCCATGTAAATGGAAGATATTTACTAGCCTATATAATTTTATTTAAATTGGCATGACAACACACTGCCCTATATAAAATCTCAAGAATGTATGCGGATCAGCTGGACTATATTATATTATTACTACGAACAGATGTACTGTACGAATTATGAATTAAAATTTTTTGAAGGCGATGTTTTTTGAACGAAAAATTGTAGAAACTTGAAATAAACACCGTTTTCAACTATAATTTATTCTTTATTTATTTAAATATTGAAATAACGTCAGTATAATAAAATCGATTTTGTTAATAATTTTTATATTTGAATTATTTTTCTTTTTTCATTACAAGGAAATAACTCTAATGAAATCATTAAAATTTTTATTATAATTATGCTCATTTTATTTTATTTATTTAAAATAAGTAATAAATAAAAATCGTGAACCAGCTTTTTTAATATAATATCGTAAATAAAATGAATCAAATCTAATTGTAAGTTTAATATATATTAACTAATAATAAAACAAATATCATAAATAAAAATACGCTTATATTTTTATGTTCAGATACTTTTGCAATAAATACTGATTAGATTTATATTTTTTTACTTAATTGCATCGAATGATTATTAAGAAATCTACAGGGGATTATTTTATTTTCTATAAGGGATTATTTTATATGATGTGCAATAAACGTTCATTAGATTTCTATTATTTTCCTTGATTGCATTATCAACATTTCTAGAATATTTACCATCAAATGATTTTTAAAAATCTTTTCTCTTCGAAGTTCTGGTTTCAAAATTTATTTGACGAAAACATTATATACCACAGATGATTATATATAAGTGATCAGTAACAAAAGTATCATTTTTTATGACATTTTTTCTAGAATTCCATTTGAAATGTGTCAACATGATTTCAGTAAAATCATTACGGAGTACGTTAAACATATTTCAGTATCGCAGATAATGTTATCTCTTTTTCTGATTAGAATTAATCAAATTTTTCTTTTTTTATCAGGATTAATATTTTTTCTTTAATGTGTGTATTTTTCATATAGTTTTTCTTTTAGAATTTATTTATTATCTTATGTTAAATAAAGATTTATTTATTTACTCATCCATGTTTGTTTTTATCAAGTATCAATTACGCGTATAAATGATATTTGTCTTATCGACTGGTAATAAATATATAAAGGTGTCAGCAAGATGTATTTAACTTTAGTTCTTTGTTAAAATAGTTCGTACGTCCGTAGTATTCGAATTAAAAAAAAAAAAAGAAGAAACGAAAAAAAGCAAAATGTATAATTTGCAAATTATTCTTTCGTTCTGTATGGTTTCCATGAATTTGATACAAATTCGTGGCCACGGTATGATGATGGATCCGGTTAATAGAAGTAGTGCTTGGAAAAAACATTTTCCTGTTCCTCCTAATTTCAACGACAATGAACTTTTTTGCGGTGGCTTTGCGGTAAGACCGTTGTTTTATTATACTTAATAATTTCAACTTATTTCAATGAAAAAAATAATATGAGAAATTTTGAAATAAAGATGATCTTCGGGTGAAAAAATTGAGCTTTCTCGACTATTTAATAATAATAAAAAAAAAAAGGACTATATAAGATAATTCGGAAACCTAAAACTTTAATATAATGCAAATTTAATCGATATTTAAAGTAGAAAAATATATTTGTAAAAAAAAAGTTACAATCTAATAATTTATTTTTTAAAGAGTTTGCTTTAAAATTGTCGAATATATATATATATATATATATATATATGTATACGTATTAAATCATTATATATAAATTTAGATTTTCATATAAAACGGTTAGATTCAATATCTATAATAGTTTCAAAGATAATCATTTTTTACATTATTCTTTTCGTCGAAAACTATGTCTAGTTATCAGCTCGTCTAAAAAAAAAAAAAAAATAACGAGAAAAATCTATATATCTAAGACTGACTTACATAAGTGCACGAATATTGCCTATCGCCAGGAACTTTACACGTGTTAACAGTTCAAGCATAGCCTTGGAGAACTTTCGAGATAGAACGCCTGTATATATGTAATAATGTGAACACAAATGTATTGAAGGGTTGTATAGGCGTAATATTTGTATTGTAAGGCGTAATATCTTTCCATTTCAATTATAAATTCGTAGTAAAATGATCATTATCAATTAAGATATAAATACAATCTATAATTTCTTTTATCTCTTAATAATGACCTCTAAGATAATGTACGATTTTATCTATTTTATTACATTTGATCTATTTTATACAGACTCAATATGAAAAAAATTATGGTAATTGCGGCGAATGTGGTGACGATTGGTCTTTGCCACGACCTAGACCCAACGAAAATGGCGGTATTTATGGAACTGGACTTATTGTCAAAAAGTAAACACACAAAAACATCATTTTATGTCCCAAATTATTATTATTATTATTATTATTATTATTATTATTATTATTATTATTATTATGATTATTATTATTATTATTATTATTATTATTATTATTATTATTATTATTATTATTATTATGATTATTATTATTATTATTGTTATTATTATTATTATTGTTATTGTTATTATTATTATTGTTGTTGTTGTTATTGTTATTATTATTATTATTATTATTATTATTATTATTATTATTATTATTATTATTATTATTATTATTATTATTATTATTATTATTATTATTATTATTATTATTATTATTATTATTATTATTATTATTATTATTATTATTATTATTATTATTATTATGATAATGATCATCATCATCATCTTTAGAAAAATATAATAAAGAATTATATTCTCATTGCAGATACACAGAGGGCCTTCACATCCAAATTCAAATCAATATAACCGCCTCTCATTCGGGACATTTCGAATTCTCTATTTGTCCTCTAAGCAACCCGAAGGAGCTCGAAATGGACGAATGCTTTGCTAAATACCCGGTACAATTGGCCGATGGTTCGTATAAATATAACATCAAAACATTCGAACCTGAGGTGTATTCGATCGAAGCAATTCTTCCTCAAGGACTTATCTGTGAGCATTGCGTCCTTAGATGGCATTATAGAACTGCAAATAGTTGGGGTGTTTGTGATGATGGTTCAGCAAATATCGGCTGTGGCGATCAAGAAATCTTTAGAAGTTGTTCTGACATCGCTATTACCAAGTAAAATCTATTTCCTTCCTTCCGAATTGTCCTAGATTCTTTCAAACATCACAAATAAGAGAAAAATTATATCTGACGAACTATCTATGAAGATCATTAGCATAAATTATCGTTAACGATCGTGAAAATTATTTGAAGCATCAGATAAAATCTCTACAGAGAAATTTAATTGATTCGACGCTTTTCTTAGAGGAAAATAAATAAATTTATGTTAATTTTATTATAACAATTGGAATGTTGAGACAAATGTGACGTTAAAAGACTCGTAGTTCTTATTCAAGAACTAATTTAAATTCAGTGATCGTAGGCGCGAGGCCTCGGACGTGTACGTAGCTTCGACATTCGTCATAGGAAAACCGATGCTAAAACTTGATGATTCAACTAAGACATAAAATTTCGTAAAGTCTTGAGTAAGATCAACTTCAAAAGTAAAGTGCGAACATTCACTCAATTTGTTGAACCATAAAATCATATTCTTAGATATCGGATTGATCTCTCAGGAACACCATGATATAAGATTAAGTAATCAATGTACAACCGACAAGATTATTACACTCACGCGTTTATACTGCTTGCTAACCTAACAGTGAAGTCAGAAAACCCACTTGCTTTTCTTCGCAAATGAACTCTCCTTCCGAACTTAGAGACCGTCTCAAATGATCTCGATTGATCTACCGGGTGTTTCCAACGCATCATATCAACCAAGATCCTCTTAGGTAAACAAAAAAAAAATAAGATACATAAAAATTGTATTCTTATTGTTCATCTTCCTTCGAAATCTTCCGAAAGTTTTCGAGCTCAAATTATTTCCTGAGTCATATTCGTGTGAAGACAATTTCGTCAGAGTTGCCAACCAGCTGGTCACTTTTAGAACATGTCGTCATTGATTTCGATCGTTTCCCATCCGAAAATCCGCTTACTTAAGAACCTCTTTGCCTATCTTCATGCGACACGATGCGTGCGAAAAAAGGATTGAAAAGATGGATCATAGATGAAGAAAGATATATTGTACGCAAATTTGATTTTTTCGAATTGAAAAATAATACCGATCGATAATATAATTTATGAAATAAAAAATATCGTCGATAGACATTATTACTCGTACACGATATACGATAGTTACTTTCGATTTCACCACTTTCCCCCAATAGATTTTAAATAATGTCCTATATATCCAGATATTGCGAGTGGTGAGCTAAATATTAATAAGAGAAATGTTCCTAGAAAACATTGACTTCTCAATGAATGATAATATGAAAGAAAAGGTATATAGAATGCATTTCCATTTTAATATATCTGAGAAGATATATTAATCTTTATCTTCTCAGATATATTAAAATATAATATAATAATATATCATAGAATGCATTTCCATTTTAATATATCTGTTGATATATAGGAAACATTCAATATCACGAAATTAGAGTAACTTACGATGTTTGTTCATCTAAGAGACATTTTTTTTTATTAAAATACCTGTTGTATGAAATATAAAGGCAGAGAAAGAATAATAATAATAAATATAAATTAAAATAGAAAAACTTGTTCTTTAATCGAATCCGATCCTTGCTGATTAACTTAATTGCTTGAATGTACCCATGAGAGAAAAGGTAAGATAACGAAACGTTACAGTATTTTCGAAGGAAAGATCGAAAGAGAATGAAGTTTTCTTTTACGATGGTTACTCTGTAGAATCGGCTTGTCTAGCAAGGTGAGCGTAGAGAATTCCCTGAGGCCTGGCATACAAGAAAAGAGGAACGAAAAGTTTTGATATTAGTAGTGGTGGTGATAGTGATGTCGGTGGTGGTTATTAGTAGTGGTGGCGATGGTAATAGTGATGGTGATGGTGATGGTGGTAGTGGTGATGGTGGTGGTGGTGGTGGTAGTGGTTGTGATGGTGGTGGTGGTAATGGTCGTGATGGTGGTGGGACGACAAGCATGAAGGCAGCACGAGAAGAGAGGAGGTAGATACCGCTTACTACTGCACTTCACCTCCGTCCTCGACACGGATCGAGTGCGAGCTGGTCAGCAAAGGATAGTAAATAAAATAAAAAACGAATAAAAGCGAATTTCTCCCTCGAAACGTAAAGCCAACGAATAGGATAGTAAACGTCCTTCAAACATTCGATCGGATCGGAAGTGAAAACAATTTTTTATTAACATTTTGTGATTAGTTGCCACAGACGAAGTGAAAGAAAAAAAAAGACAGAGAAAAAAAGAGAAAGAGAGAAAGAGAGAAAGAGAAAAATCACGAATAAACGGACGATTAAGTGAACAAATTTGATAAAATTGAATGTTAGTGATTTTGTTAGTGATCACATTTGTGTCGGGCTAGCACCAGTGTTTTCGTGCCGTACAGAAGAATGCGGTAGGATGCGCATCCAGAAAAGATGTTTTCTATGTACGCTGGCGGGACTTTGCCTTTTAGGCCTGCTAGCCTTTCCCTCCTCTGCGCTGGACATCGAAACTATCGCAACAACAACGACGATGACGACAACGATGATGACGACGATGTCAACGACAACAGCAACGAACGGTAGGTATTAGACAATAGATTTCTCGTCCAGTTCGACAGCTCCGAGTTTCACTTGGTTCTTTAAAAAATTCTTTACTTTCCCTTAGTCTAACACCATTGTATAGACTTTTCCAAAAGAGGAAAAGATAGATAACTCGTCGCTGGACCGTTCAACAAAAATACACGTGCTCTGGCACGTATTTACTATCGTCTCATAGTATACCTTTGTATAACTATGTGAAAGTAGAATTCAATAACGTTGGAAGTTCGTTCGGTTGAATTTCACGATTGATATTTTAATAACAAAACAAAATCTCTCTCTCTCTCTCTCTTTTCTTTCTTTCTCTCTCTCTTCCTCTCTCTTCCTTTCTCTTCGTTTCCACGTGCAAGATAAGAAAGTAAAGGAAAGAGTGTTTTTTTTTATTACAAGGACGGAAAGATGAAGAGCATTCGTCTTCGTTCGGATTTGAATCGGATTAACGGTAGTACGAAGAGTCCAGTTGGTGAACCGACCGACACGCATTCACTCGTACGACGACCTTCGAAAGAAACAAGACGCACCTAACTGTGACTCGTAAGGAGGAGTAGTCGGCCGTTGATCTTCCTTTTAAATTTCACGCTCCAAAATATAACATCGACTGGCTGACGCGAATTCGCGCGAAGCGACACAACTTTCTTTTTAAATTACAGCTGCGTATAAGCTTTGTAATGCATCAACGAATCACGTACTTTCTTTTACGATTTCTTATGAGGTATCCACCTCTCTCTCTCTCTCTCTCTCTCTCTCTCTCTCTCTCTCTCTCTCTTTCTCTCTCTCTCTCTCTTTCTCATTCCAAAGCAAATGGAAAATAACTATAAACATTTTAACGCAGCAATTACATTCATGAATCATTTGTGATGATATTTCCTCTTCATTTTTTTTATTACCTTTGTTATTTTATTACTTCTCTCTTTTTTTATTGTTGAAACGCGTTTAATTCACAACTGTTTACTTCTTTTTCTCTTTTTTCTTTTTTTTTTCAACGATCGCACATAGTAACGAGGTCGATCATTAATGATGAAAACAATGAAAAGAATTCACTGAGATTATATGGGTTAGCGATCCACTCTCTCGAAAAGTATGTGTTGAAAAAAATAATAGCGAAACAATCACTATGCACTTTTTTTTTTATAAAGAACCGTTATAATTTTATCAGCGGAACAAAATAATGCAAGAAGTATATCTAAGTGCTCTTAAGTATTATTGTTAAGTATTTTTTTTATCGAGTCATAAGACATCTCAATAATGAAATTTGAACGATAATAAAGAAACGTGATGTTTAGAATGGAAAGTCTATGATTATACATGCATTTATTTTTTTCTTTTTAGTATCAAAGAAAACATGAGAAACAGAATAATTACACGAAGTGTTGTAACGTAAGGACAAATATATGTATATATATATATATATATACATATGTGTATGCATAGAACGATTGAAAAATACAAAATAATGACAATTATATAAGATCAAATGGATTAGTAAAAATGAGTTTATTTCTTCAAAAATTATAAAATGAAAAGTAATTATAAAATCAAAAGAAAAGGACGATATAACGCAATAAAAATATTTTATCTATATATTGTAATTAATAAAAATATTATATCATTAAATAATATTATAAATAATATTATATCATTAAATAATTATATCATAAAAATATTATAATCATTATTTTTTATTTATTTAATTATACAATAATAAACAAACAACTATAGATTTTAGTAAAAAATTCGTTAATAATTATTATTTCTATAATAATTATAAAAGGAAAAAATCTAAAACCTGTATTTTTTGCAAGTTTGATTGTTTTAATAAAACGATCCAATGTATTCTAGTAAAACACCCGATATATCGGTAAAGTTACATGAGCGAACGTACGTATTACTTGTATGTTTCGCATAGAAGAGGAAGACTGGTATAAGAGAAAAGAAGAGGGCAGAGAACTCTTCGAGGTCTCGCTCCTTGTCCGAGTCTTTTACTTTTTAGAAATTCAAACTCTGTTTTCCATTCTAATCGAAGAATGAGAAATAGAAACAAAGAGAAAGAGATAGAGAGAGAGAGAGAGAGAAAGAGAGAGAAAGAGAAAATGAGATAGATAAAGAAAAGAGAGAGAGAATGAAATAAAAAGAGAGTTCCAAAGATTACCAAAGAATCCGGAGACTTTAATGCTCATAGAAAGGATTCCGGAAAAGTATTATCAAGCGATATCGGATCGATCGTAAACGTTTACTAACGTTGTTATGAGGTTGTTCTAACGAAAGTAAGATAGGACGAAGTGAAAGCATATCTTGAAGAAAAGTTAAGTTTTTATAAATATCGAAAGAAAATCAATGCAATGTTTGACGTAATGGTCCTGTTAAAAGCCCTGATTAAGCGATAATCGAGTAAACTTTTTCTTCTTTTCTTCTTCGTTTTGTCTCAGGACGCTTTCGAAGATAAAGAAGGCGGGAATGGATTGGGGAAAGGAACGAACGAACGAACGAGAGAGTGAACGCGGGCGCGGCACAGCGAACGTGCGAGAATCGAGTGTAATGAAGAAAAAGCGGAGACACGAGGACCCGCCATGTCTTTTTCCTCTGAACGAGATATATCCACATTTCTCTCTCGATCATAGTTTGCATTAAAAATGCCACCGTTCCATTCTCCGACTCTTCGTCTTTGTTGAAAGCACAGATTATTAATCTAAGATTATCTATTTATAATATATACATATATATATATATATATATATATATATATGTATATATATATATATGTATATAACTTATACATATATATATATATATATATATATATATTTCTCTTTCACTCTTTACTGAACCGTGATTTGTCCATAAATGAAGCAAAACTTTTCTTTTTATCGAGTTTAAACTAGGGTTTTCCTGCTCCTGTAACAAGTATTTTCGATCTGCATATCGTAGTTATGTATCCAACTTATACACGATTAAAGGAAACAAGTAATAACATAGTAATACAAGTTATAATATCGTTTGGAAAAGTTAGATGTTTAATTATGTTATACTTATCACGATGTTTTGAATTTCGCAGAAAATTGAATATCGAATGATCAGAAATATATGATGATGTAATAAGAAAGATTATCAGAATCCATCGTTATTATCGAATTTCTAATGAAATTCATATTGTTCGTGGTAAAGATGTGTAACGTCTTGATTGAGACAAGATCGTTTGATTCGATTCGATTTGATTCAAAGAATATCGGTAATTTGATCGGTAAAACTCAAAAGTATGGAATAAAATTGTTATCCTACACCAAATGGCAAGTAGGATAGAATACCGTATAGCCAAAGGCATGTTCGCTCGGTGACCGACTATTTTCTCTCTCCCTCCTTCTCCGGCATCTTGCTCTATCCTCCCACCATAATATCCCGCGTTCCATCCAGTTTACCTTCTCAAGCTACCTTC